TCGAGGCCATACTCTTAAGTGAAATAAATAGGACACAGGTGAGAATACTGAATAGTTTCTCTAGTGTGAGAAACTGATAGTGTAAATAAGGGTTAAAATGATTAAAATGAGTAATCGATCATTTGAAATAGGAAAAAAGGTCCAAAGACGTAGGGGAAAGGGAGGGGAAGGGGAAAGGAAAGGAGGGAAAGGAAAAACTATGAGAAAAGAAAAAAAATGGAAATGAAATATATGTAAATAGGGAAGGGTGGAGGGGGTGAAGGGTGCACAGGTAATGGGGAAAAAAATAAAAACCAAGATATATCATGTACAGGTACAAACACCCAATGATAAATGTAAACAAATTGTATACCTAAAATGTACCAATAAAAGAACTTAAGAGGAAAAAAACCCAAAACTTGATTCTTTGCTATGGCAGTAATCCAAGCAGCATCATTTTGATTATGAGTGGCTTGGAAAGATGGGAGCTTATGAGAGGTCTTTTGCTTTGCCTCATCAATGAAGAAATACTGCATTAAGACTTTTTTTTGTACTGGGGATTGAACTCAGGACCTTGCACTTGTGAGGCAGGCAGCGGCACCAACTGAGCTAAATCCCTGGCCCTGCATTGAATAAGACTTTATGTGAACAGGTGCAGGGGAAAATAAAATGAGCTGTAGAATTAAATATAAACAATCAAAAGTAGTACCTTTAAAGTTATTTTAATATAATAATGTCTACAAAACTCCAGTTGCTTCTGTAGGTATTTGATTGAATAATATTAATTGTTGGGGTTTTATGATGTAGTACTAGATGAGGTAATTATGCTTAACTGGTGACCAGGAAATTTAATGTTCTACTGCTCACTCATTACACTGAACATTAAGAGCTGTCTTGCAAGACTGTTTACCATTTGCTTAGCAATCATGTGTGCAAAGGAGCTTACATTTATTTATACTATTCTGTGGAACTACATGAAGCTTTGGCAGATGATTATTTTTTCAAGATAAAAGTTTACTTGAAACCATGCTCTAGAAAATTATTCAGTAGCAGAGGTAGGTGAAACCAGGTCTTTTATTGATCCAAGCATATCTTCTGAAACATAATACCTTTTAATATTCCTTAGAATGACTTCAAAATGTTGCTGTGGTGCTGCTTATTTGGTGGTGGTGATGTACTTATATGTGTGAGTGTGGATGCATGTGTGCATTTGCACTATTTGTTTTTACCATTATCCTCTAATAAGATTCAGTCAAAGGTTAAGCGTCTCCTAAATCTGCCATTTTTGTCCTTGCTGCTACTGTCAACCACAGTGGAATCATTTTGTGTTAACAGTAAATTTGAATGTTGTCTGATGTTGACATGTTATGCAATACTCATGATACTAGCTACCACTTGCTTGGGAACAGAATTGTCAGTACAGGCAAAAGTTATTGTTAATGCTTAATGTGAACTGGTTGCTGGATTAGTAAATTGTCTTAGTCTGTTTTATGTCTCTGTAACAGCATACTGCAGACTTGGCAATTTATAAAGAACATATCTACTTTCTTAGTGCTGGGTTCTGGGAAGCTCAAGACCACAGTGGTAGCAGGTTTGGTGTTTTGTAAGGGCCCAATTTCCACTTCAAGGATGGCCCTGTGAACCCCACTGTCCATTCGGGAGGAATACTTGGCAGCACAAAAGGGTACAAACCCACTCAGCATGTTTTGTGGCACATAAGTCAATTCACAAGGGCTGAACCCAGAGGCCCCACCTCCCCACCCTGCTGTGTTGGGGACTGAGTCTTGGTGTGCATGTGGGAGCACAGAGACATCTGAACCACGGCAGGAGTGAAGCACTTGTAAAGTAGGGGACTCATAACAGGCTAACTTCACACTGCTGACTGAGTTTATCCCCTTCAGAACAGCTGCTACATTTTACCATTATTCAAAACATTCAGATCTAAGTTACAGTCTGAGCCACATATTTTAAATGTGATGCACATTGTGTATGTGAAGATACTGTACTTTTATTTGCACCATTTCTTTTTCTTTTTTTTTTTTGGTACTGGGGATTGAACTCGGGTCCTTGTGCTTGCACAGCAGGCAGCGAAACGACTGAGCAAAATCCCTGGCGCCTTGATACTGTACTTGTAAAAAAATGTCCATAAATCATTTAGTGACAAGTTAATGGATAAGCTGGGTAGCCAAACTTGAAAAAAAGTTGCTTTGGTCATAAAAGTAACAGTAGACACTTAAATCTATTTTCTTATTCAGCTTATAAAATATATGTGAAGGAAATTCGTATCTTTCACTAATTCAAAATTTTTTGACTAATGGCCTACTCTTAAACTAAACCTAAAACCTCTCAGTATGGTTACTTTGAAGCCACTTCTCAGTACAAAAGATTCTGGGGGAATTTCAAGGAACATGTCCTGTTGTGTGTATATTCAGAGTACACCAGCAGTCATCATCAAGCCCAAATTTACCTTTAATACTTTTGACATCACTGAAGTAGTAGTTAAGAGCATAGGCTCCTAAAACAAAGTGCTGCTACAGATGTTCTAACACTGGGAAAGTCATAATCTTGGACAGGAATGTTTTTTAATTTCTTTATCTATAAGAGGGCCATCAGTAATTTTATCTGGCTATAAATTACACAGTTTAAACATGTAGTATCTGAAGCATTTAGAACAGTGCTCAATAAATGTTAGCCATTACTATTAGTACATTATTTCTTTACATTTTTTTTTTCTTTTTTTTGGTACTGGGGATCGAACTCAGGACCTTGTGCTTGAGAGACAGGCGCTGGAACCTCTGAGCTAAATCCCCAGCCCTATTTCTTTACATTTAATGTTTTGATTGGTGAAAGTATCTGGATAACTGGTAAGTTTGTGCAGTTATTGTAAATAATAAATTAGGTATAATTATCTGTAGTAAGATACTATATTTTAAAATGGAAATAGCTACGGTATGATTCCTCCTTCCTTTCCTTCACCCTCCCTCCCTCCCTTCTTTCCTCCCTTCTTAAGCGTGCAGAGTATATGTGTAGAATGAGGTTCCTCAATCTATTGTGGTTACCCCTGGGGAGTGGGATTATTGTGGAGATTGAAATTCTTGGGAGAATGTCTTCGGCATAAAAATGAAGCAGACAGTTCATTGAATATTAAATTTATTAATTTAGCTGCTACTTATTAAGCTCCTACTGCATATAGGGACTGATAAAAGAAAGACTAAGTTGTTAGCAATTATATCCCCTCTGGAGGAAGTGTAAAGCTATATAAAGGAGATCAGATTGCTATCCATGTTCTTAGCATTTTCCTTTTCTGTATTTTCATTCAAATGATGTTAAAAATGCTTTTCATGTCCCCATTTATGTTTAAAAATTATAGTTGTTTCTAAATTTAAAAGTTCTGCTAATTTAAAAAAAGTAGCTTTATTGTTCTTTGATTATAAATCATAAATACTTGTTACAGAAAAACCTCAGAATTTGGTGCTGATACTCCTCACACCAAGAGACCTTCCTTATCTTGGGAAGTACATGGATTGACAGGCTGTGATTATTATGTATTATTTGTAAGCAAGGTAGCTAAGGATTTTTTTTTTAATCTATGAAAGATAGGTTGCATTGCAGAGAATTCTCAATATATAAAAATTATCTTTATATTTGTTTAGAAATTGCTCTTGTTCTTTCTGTTTTTGCAAAAGTGAGAAGCCTATTCTGTCGTTTGGTAAAAGAATATTATGATTAGTCACCAGTCCAATATTTCTGCCTGGAGAGGTGATAGAAAGGGTAGAATACTTTGTTTCCTAACACCACTCCAACAGTTACCTGGGTATTCCTGCCAGGGCATGGTTGTCGGCTGCAAGCAGATTTCCTGTACTGACCTCGTACCTGCTCAGGACTTAGAACTCTTCGGATAGTTAAAGAATGCCATTGGGGGAAGTGTGCAGGTAATACCTGGCAAGACTCTTACTTAATAGTGGCGAACCTCCTGCCTCAGCCTCCTGAGTGCAGGGATTACAGCTGTGCACCACTACACCCAGCTTCCTTTAAAGTTTATGGTGCAAATTTTTGTATGTCTCAGTTACCTTTGAGCGCAATTAAAACTCCATTTTTAGATTCCGTAAAGTTTGACAAGTACAGGAAATATGAGAAGAAAATGAATTTGTAAGCTACCTTTAGAGAAAACCACTTACACATTACTGCCTTTTAAGCTGTTTCTTTGCTACTCACCTTTAAAATAACAAAACTGAGTGTTCATAGCAACTCCTTATTTGATTTCTTTAGACAAATAATGATCTTGAAAGATGAATCTCTATAAAGAAATTATCATTATATAATTAATATTAGGCAAACTTTTTCTGGTACTGGGGATTGAACCCAGAGCCCCTATACTGAGCTACATCCCCAGCCCTTTTTTACTTTTACTTTTATTTAGAGATAGGGTCTTGCTAAGATGCTAAATTTCCCAGATTGGGCTTGAACTTGTGATCCTCCTGCATGCACCACCACACCAGACTAAGAAATTCATATATTGGAGATTTTGTTTGTTTTTTGTTTAAGAGAGACAGGATCTCACTATGTTGCCCAGGCTGGCCTTAAACTCCTGGACTTAGGTGATCTTCCTGCCTTTCCTGTCTGAGTAGTTGGAACTACAGGCATGTATCACCATGCCCGGCTTTGTAGAAATTTTGTAGTTGCAAAGGACTCTGACCCAGAAATTTTACCGTTAACATTTTCCCCTAAAATATACAAGATACACGTGTTTGCATTTGTCTGTTAGATGGAGCAGTTGCTTGGTTTTCTGTGGCTTCTAGCCATGAATAGTAGCCATGATTTATTTGAAGCATAGGCCTAAGTCATTCCTGAATTTAGCATTTCACTTTCTTATTTACCATTTATTATTCTTTCTTATTTACCATTTTAACATTTATTTTTTAGCTCCTATCCTTTTGTTCTTGTATCACAAGTTGAGGCAATTCACTTTCTCTTCTGAATTTTGTTTAAGGAAATTTTTATTATGTCATAAAGTTGTCTAATATAAGATGACCAGCAGCTAACGACATTTTAATACACAGGAGCTGTGCTAAGCACACTATAAATTGCTTGCTTCCTCATCTTGCTGTTTACATTGTAGGGTCAAAATTTGTGCTTCAGCAGAACTTCAAGTCATTTCATAGAAAGGCCTTAGGAGTTGCTCCCCAATAGCAGAAAGGAATGTTAATCCATGAGAGACTTTTAACGTTGGACTCTTCAGGGAGATGGGTGTGACAGTGTGAGATGTGATCATGGGCCAGCCTCTTGTATACCTGGGCCTTGGGTAGCTTTCACTGCTGTGAGCCTGTTTCCTCATTTTTCAAATTGTAATGCTAGAACCTTTCCCAAGGTTCAGGCTTGTTGTAAGGAGCCAGTAACAAAATCTGTGAAAGGACTCTGTAAATTATGACACATACAAATGTTAATAGTATTCAGAGAGCTCCAGCAAAGGAATAGAAAGCAAAAGCATCTCTTGATGCCTGTGTTGTGGTCAGTTTTTATTTCAGGACAAATGTAAATCACGTATGGGAACCTTTCTATATGAAATGTAGAGATAACTTCACCGTGACTTTCACATCATCCTTAACATAAACATTTTCTACTTGAGCACCTCTCTAGATTGTAAGGGCAAGAGGGGCTATGGTTCTTTGTGTTCTCTATTAACTTTGAACAAGCCATCTGCCTCACTCTTAGGGGAAGCAAGGAGAATGGTGTGTCTGCCTACTACCACCTGCTATTTTTAGATTGGCCAGGAAGCCCTATTTGGCACTCTCTGTCCATCTGATTTGGCAACTCTTGCGCCTGCATCTTTCACAAAATATAAGGTGCTCAGAAGGTGGAAAAGAGGATTTCTTTGATTTTCCAGACTTCATTGCTGAGAAGAAAATTGGAAGGACACCTACTGTAAGTGAAACAGTGTGTATTTTCATTTAATGTGGTGGGTACATGCAGCACAAGAGGCAGGATGCATTTCTCTCTGCCTCGATAGGGGTGAGGAAGCGATGGGTCTTCTGTCCTGATTCCCATCCATTACCAAGAGAAACAAATCAGAGAAGGGCGCATACACTGTACAGACTCCACACGGATGCATATGTTTCTATGCACAGATTTTTATGGTTCCTTAGAATAAAATCCATAGGAAAAAAAAAACAATATGAATGCTCAGGGAAGAGGAACATAGAAATAATCCTGGGAATGACAGATTTTAAGATTAATGTATTAAGTTAGATGAGTTAATTAAGTTAGATGAGTTATCTATTTATTTGTGAATGTTAGAGAATATGGATCAGTTTTAAATGAGCATACACATAGACAGATTATAAAATTTAACCAATTTTACAGTATTTGTAGTTTATACAAAGAATTCTAAAACATTTTTGTTATTGGGTAAAATAACTTAGCAAAATCCATTGTCAGGTATTGTGTGCCATGAAGTGGAGGTTTTTGCCTTTATAATTTTAGTAGCTTTCTGCGCTAATTGTTCTTTATTGTTAAATTATCATTTTTCTGTAACTGAAGAATTAA